TACCCGGGCCTTCCCACGGCGATAGCGACGATGCCGGGCTACAGAACGAATGGAACCGAAAATCGTGTGCGAGCCCGTTAAAGAGGTCGAAGTGCTGCACTTGGAAGCTCGCGTCCCCTCGTTTTCTGGCTGAATGTTCACAGCCAGCGAGCCATTGAACATTACAGTCACGAACAAACTCTCGTGTGCGTTGGATTGAAACAGCCATTTGTCAGCTGAAACTGCAATCGGCACTTCGTGTGCGTTGCTAGCCTTCTCCACAGCGTTATTGTAAGCCTCGCGTAGATTTTCCCAGCCCTCGGCAGACAATACGTGCTCCTCCGCTGCTTCACTTGACGCGGGAGCAGATTCACTTTCGCCGACGACGAAATACGAGTACCACGAGCCACCTCCGCCATGAGTCGCCTGTGTTTTAGCGTGTTCTTTGGCCGAAGCTTCCACTTCCTCCTTCGCACGCTTCTCGGCGGCTTCGGCAACGTCGCGTAACAGCAGCACCACATCCAGCGGGTAGATTTCTTCATATCGCTGCTTGAACTTGCCCTGCCTCGTCGAGGGGTCCAATGGTGAATCGTTGCGCAGCTCCGTCCTGAAAGCCTCGACGTACAATTTTTGCTCCAGCAGCGCCTTCTGTACTGACGACCAGCGCATTTGGCGGTGATGTGGGCGTGGGGGATCAGATGCACGTCCCGCAGCGTCACCTGCAGGTTGGCCACGATGCGGGCCGTGAGTCTCGAGACGAAGGTGCCCTCGTCCTCCTCGGGCTTCTGCTGCTCGTGCTGCTCCTGACCCGGGCCAACGCGCGCGGCGAAGCGGCGGTGCTGGCGCAGCAGCTCCAGCTGATTCTTCTCGGCCGCGCTGCACGGCTCCGTGTTGGGCACCACGAGCGCCAACACGCCCTCGAGAGTGATGGCCATGCTGGCGCTGCCCAACTGGTTCCAGGGCAGGCGCACCAGCACGCGGCCCACGCTGCCGCTGGTCACGGCTACGGGCTCGGCCAGCGAATGCGGCTTTAGTGACAGGTCGCGCAGCTCCAGCTCGCCACTCCACAGCCCCACGACCAGCGAGTCGCTGCGCAGGCCGGCCACATACTTGCCCAGCTGCGCCTCCAGGATCGACGAGATGATGGCCTTGGCCATGGCTGCGGGCGGCATCGATAGCGGCGGCAAGGGCCGCTGTGGCCCGACAGGATCCGCGTAATCAGATTGTAGCCATGTTCCGTGAAAATAAATAGTGGTTTAACATCAGCACGTCGTACGAGACCTTGACTAGAGCGGTCTGCTCGGCCGTGAAGCGAGGCAAACGCTCACCGACTCGCTCGCGCATGACGGGCGGGTAGTCGCCGGAGGTGAGGGGCAGCAGCTACCAGCCAAACTCGAAGTTCATCGCGCGCTCCGCAGCTTCTGCATCTTCAATGTTGTTCTCCCGAAGAGGGTGGAACTGATTGACATTGAGTACGATACCCATGCGCTTTAGGCTGGACAAAACCACTCGATTGAGCTCCCTGAACCGTTGCACGGAGTACGCGTGTGACAGGAGCACATTGTGCGCCACCTCGTAGACCAGCGTGGGCGAGTCGCGGAATCCTGGCGGGTGCAGACCCGTGTTGTAGCCGTACACGACGAAGGAAGTGGCTCGTTGAAGGTGGTCCAGAAGTCGACCTTGTCACCGAATTCGTTGTACAGCTGCGTCGAGTACTCCACGAAGTGGTCGATGATCTCCGGGTTGAGCCATCCCTGAGGGGTGAGCTTGTTGTGCAGCTTCGTGGGCAGGTCCCAGTGGTAAATGGTAAAAATCGGAGAGATGCCGCTCTCAACCAACCTGTCAAGCAACGCGTGGTAGTAGACGAGACCGGGGGCGTGGGCGCATGCGTCGCGCTTCCGGGTCCCAGTTCATTATGCGCGACCACGAGACGGAGAAGCGGAAGGACTGGAGTCCCGTCTCCCCCATGAGCTTGATGTCGTCCGCATAGCGGTGGTAGAAGTCGTCGACGTTGGCGCACTCGAAGCCAGGATGTTCACGACAAAAGTCGTCCCAAATGCTCGGAGTGCGGCCGTCCTCGTTCCACGCGCCCTCCACCTGGTACGACGCGGTGGCCGACCCGAAGAGGAAATCAGCAGGGAAGCAGCGAGGCTCGGCGGCCGCTGCAGGGGAAGAGAGCAGGGTGACGGTCGCCGCCGCCGCGAGTCCGAGACGGTGCAGCAGCCACATCACTTGAGCTGTGAGTTCGAGGCGGCAACTTCACGAATGAGGCAGGAGCGGATTCGCAAGATCTCGACGAAAGCGTTGGCGCTACTGTAGGGCTGTTTCGCGCAGTGCTCGAAAGTGCACGAAAGTACTTCGGCGCCATTGCTGCCACGAGCACTTACCGGTACTGTGTGCTTGTGGCACATGATATGTCGAACAACATACTACCTTACCCGGGCGACAAGCGTCCCGGGGGAGGTCGCAGTTCGTAAGTGTAAGGTTCTGGTTGTGCTTGTTGTGTTGCGAGTAAAATGGAAACTGAATTGATGTCTTTGTCTGTTTGCTGCTATCCATCTACCCGAGGGCGCCCTCATGGCGCTCGGTCCTAAACATGAAGTGGTTGGCTGAGGCGTGCCGGAGCAGGAGCTTGCGCAACCGGTGAGTATGCAGACGACGACTTGGGCTCTCTGCGTGCGGACTCAACTGATGATGTGGTTGTGTTCTGCTCTTGCACGTGCAGATCATTACACGCCCCCCGACTTGAGCGAGTCGCGGCACCTTGAACGTTGAAGTCGCCGAAGTTGAAGTTGGTAGTACCGTAGACCCCGATGTAAGGAACACTACCGTCGAAACGCTGTTCAAGAGAATTCCACTAGGCCCGTGCCACTCGATTGCGTTGGCGAAGATCTTTTAGCAGCGCTTCCCAGTGGCTGACGTGTTTGATGTCGCGCTCGCGTTCCCACGTGTTCTCATGGTGAGGGAGCCCGTGCCACTTGACCAAGTACTCAGGTTGGCGGTTGAAGATGCGCTTCTTGATCAGAGCTTCGACAACGTGTAGTGGCTCGTCATCGTCGTCGAAAATCACGGGAGTCGACTTCGGGATCACTCGGCCGACGAAGCGATCAGGGTTGCTGTTGTATACCTTGAGCTTGTCGATGTTGAAGCGTGGGCTGATGTGATTCAAGTTGGCCGGTAGATCCAGCAGCGCGACGTTGCCGTGAAGTTCCAGGATCGGGTACGGACCGATGAAGCGCGGGATGAACTTCCGTGAGCGAAGCGTCGTTTCCGCGGTGGCGTGCGAGATGTTCAGGTCCTACGTCGACAGCAAGGCTAGATCACTGACCTTGAATGGGTTTGCTGCACGACGCCGGTCGTAGAACTTCTTTTGAGCCTCTTGCGCATCCAACAGATTCTTCCGAGCACGTTCGATCACCTCTTGACGATGCTGAACAAATCGAGACGCGTACTCCACACGAGACCTTGCC